CCTAAGAAGTTGATGTCCTCTGTCCCTCCCACTGTCTCCCTCACTTATCACGACATCTCAAGAGCCTTAAGAAGTTGATGTCCTCTGTCCCTCCCACTGTCTCCCTTACTTATCACGACATCTCAAGAGCCTTAAGAAGTTGATGTCCTCCATAAACTCTAGGCGTGCTTTGACAAGGTTTTTTATGTCAAAGAATTAGCCAAAGAAATCGCGCCTGCACTGACAATACTCTTCCAATCGTCACTATGCACAGGAAATGTTCCAGCAGACTGGAGAACAGCGCATGTCACTCCAATTTACAAGAAAGGGGAGCATTCCGACCCTGCCAACTATCGCCCGATATCCCTCACTAGCGTCGTCTGCAAATTGTTGGAGCACATAATCGTAAGCTCTGTCATGAAGCATCTTGAAAGCAAAAATATACTCAATGACTGTCAACATGGCTTCCGAGTCAATAGGTCATGTGAGACACAGCTTCTCGAATTTGTAGAAGACTTGATGACCAATCTGGAGAACCACAAGCAGACTGACGTGCTAGTAATGGACTTCGCAAAGCATTTGACCGGGTGAATCATAGTTTGCTTCTACACAACTCCAGATATATGGGATTCAAGGCACCACTAAAACATGGATCTCTAGCTTCCTCAGCCACCGACGCCAAGCAGTAGTGGTGGGCGGTACAAGCTCCTCCTTTGTCAATGTGAAGTCAGGGCCATGATTTACAAGATAAATAATGGGCTGGTCCACTGTTCCAGTATTAAACAGAAACTCGTCCCTCTCCCCCATACACAGCGACGAGGCCATGACAGGCAATTCAGGCTCATACCAGCAAGAAGCCAGTATAGGAGCTGCTCATTCCTGCCCAAGACAATCAGGGACTGGAACCATCTTTCAAAAGGAACGGTTGAGGCGACAACACTAGACACATTTGTGTCTATTGCCTCAAGCCTTCAAACCCCTAGTGCATAATTTCCTCATCACCACCAGTAACAGAAACATTTCAAATCCCATCTACATGCATAGGAGCCAAAATGATCAATAAATTGATCGTGGGCCCCTAAGATATAGAAGAAGAAGATGTCCTATTCAGCTTTTAAGTGACCCCAAGATGACCCCAGTCCGAAACATTCACATAAGCGATGGCGTGTTTCGGTAGATTATATTTGATTTGTATTTGATGTCACCTTTCATGTCTTGAGCTCTGCGTGTGACGTGTGATATTATTTTGTGTCCGTTGGTGGAAATGGTGAACTTCCCACAAGAATATTTAAAATGTTCAAGTTCTTAAACCATCCATGAAAGGTTAAAAATCATCAACTGGTGTAGAACAATTCTATCTTTCAATAATGTTGGATTATTCTGTTGTGTTCGACATCATTATTTCTTTCAACAGTAAAAATAAAACAGCGATATCTCCGTATTGGTAGATCAGTTGTACAGTAGCCTTGATGCGTTTCATTTGAATGATTTCATCAGCGTCTTGAAAAAAGAAGAAGGATCACCCAAAATCAGGGGTGCGTGAAAATGGGGGGGTGGGGGGTGGTACGGAATTTTTGGCCTACTGCAGAGTTTTTTTTTTTTTTCATGGAAATGGGGTGGAAAAAAATCATGGCCCCTCCCTGGACTGCACTAACCCTAGCTACGCCACTGACCGGAATTCTATTTATGATATAAAAATGTTCGAATTTTGAAAAGTACCAAGAGGCGCCATAAGTGCTAAAGCGTTGCTTTTGTCTGACAATGCGTGGGAAACACTTGACTTAGATGTCTGACAATGCGTGGGAAACACTTGACTTAGATGTCTGACAATGCGTGGGAAACACTTGACTTAGATGTCTGACAATGCGTGGGAAACACTTGACTTAGATGTCTGACAATGCGTGGGAAACACTTGACTTAGATGTCTAACAATGAGTGGGAAACACTTGACTTAGATGTCTGACAATGAGTGGGAAACACTTGACTTAGATGTCTGACAACGCGTGGGAAACACTTGACTTAGATGTCTAACAATGAGTGGGAAACACTTGACTTAGATGTCTGACAACGCGTGGGAAACACTTGACTTAGATGTCTGACAACGCGTGGGAAACACTTGACTTAGATGTCTAACAATGAGTGGGGAAACACTTGACTTAGATGACTACACAGAGTTGGTTTTTATTTGTTTTACTGAGAAATGACAAGACTGTTTTCTTTGCTAATCATATATTTAATACATTTGACTAATGTTTTATTAAATTTTGATTGTAAGTATTTAATTAATTTCATTTCATACACAGGGAAGTAATATTAGCGAAACGGTCAGGCAGTAAGTAGTAACATGCCTGGTCATGGATAAATTTAAGGAATCTGGCATGCGTTAATTTAATTCACATGATGAAAATATCGAAAGTGCAGAATTGTGACGTCAGCTTCAGAAGTTTACATGAGAAACAAGTTAGAGATGTGCTTTAAAAGTGCATCTGTCGTGTCTTATTAAAGACGGGTCTGTTTGGAAACCCATCCAGTGGTCATTTTTTCCAGCACCGTGAAATGGGTGAATTATTTTTCAGGTTACCAAGCTAATGGCCAGTATGATTGACGGGGCCCTAGACAGGATGATTGACAGGGCCCCTAACAATGCGATTGACAGGGCCTTAGACAAGGCAATAGACAGGGCCTCAGATAGGGTCATAGACCGGGCCTTAGACCATGCAATTGACAGGGCTTCAAACAAGGTAATGGACGGGGCCTCAGACAGGGCGATGGACGGGGCCTCAGACAGGGTGAAAGAAAGGGCCTCAGACTAACCAATTCATTTTAGAAGAACGATGCCCCGTTAAACTTGGCCTTGGGACGACAGTGCAGAAATCTCTTGGATTGATTAGACATGCACTTCTTTTACCAGTTTGACTTTAGATGCTCACATGTTAGTTCTTCCCATGATCTACATCTGCTTACATCTGATTGCACCTTTTCTGGCCCAACAGCAAACAGTAAACGTTGTTTACAAACAAGAGTTGTTTATTAAAGTGATATTTTCACATTATTATTTCTTGGTGTTCTTTTCTTTGAATTATAGCGCCGATAAAATATCATTTAAATAACGTGTAAAAAATATCAACATTGTGTACATTGCATTATTTAATAAAACTAATGTAAGCAATATTTGTTAACATTAATCGATCACCTCCCCCCCCCCCCCTCTTTTTCTACTCATAATGAAACACTGGTGAAATGGTCTACAAATAATCTATTTTAACACCATTTATGTTTGAAAAATGTAAAAGATATGAGAAATAATAATAAATATGGAAATTTTATTATTCTTCGATGTGTTCTATAACTTGATGAGAAATCAATAAAATCGTTTAACACCGTCCAACTCCTAAATACAATGGTCCTGATTTCACTGGTGATGTCATTGGAGGTGTCCTGGAGGTGTCACTGGTCACTGGAGGTGTCACTGGAGGTGTCACTGGAGGTGTCACTGGAGATGTCACTGGAGATGTCACTGGTGGTGTCACTGGAGGTGTCACTGGAGGTGTCACTGGAGGTGTCTATGGAGGTGTCACTGAAGGTGTCACTGGAGGTGTCACTGGAGGTGTCACTGGAGGTGTCGCTGGTGGTGTCACTGGAGGTGTCACTGGTGATGTCACTGGTGATGTCACTGGTGATGTCACTGGTGATATCACTGGTGATGTCACTGGAGGAGTCACTGGTGATGTCACTGGAGGTGTTACTGGTGATGTCACTGGAGATGTCACTGGTGGTGTCACAGGAAGTGTCTCTAAAAAAGAGAGCCTTCGTCAGCGAACTAAACAACAGAAAAAAAGGTATAAAAATAAGAAATAGCACTTAGCTGTAAGTAGTATCTGTGGGCAGCAATAGAAATACCCCACCCAGGAAAAAAACTAAAATATCCCAAAGTAATAGAAATTGAACCCAGAGTCCATTTTAGAATAGTATGGATAATCTGAGAGTAAATTGGATAAGGAATAATATGACAGGAATCTTGGAATTATGTGAAATGAATATGACCATGACCTTTCAATAATGAGTACAATTGTGCTACTGTTTATCTTTCTTCATCTCACACCCACACTAAAATATTTACATCATGCTTCATGTTTATTATATAAATAGGAAGTAAACTCTAAGTTACTAGCATTATTCCCCTGACAAAAAATTTATAACTTCTGATTAACCCATGTGTGTGTGTGTGTGTGTGTATATATATATATATAGTAGTGTGAAGGGGGTCCAGTATTGGTGGGTGATGGCGATGGGTTGTACCAGGACTGACAGTTACTAATAAAAAAACAAAAGAATACAGGTCCTAAGGAAAAGCTAAAGAAAAATTCTTAATAAAAAGGACAATATCTGAAAAGAAACAAATGGTACAGGTTAACAACGCCCTGACTAACATTTACAAATACCGCTAACAATAAACATTTTAAATAACGCCATTATTGTAGATTGTGACAAAAATATACGTAACTGAGGACAGCGTATTACACGTAATACAAAATTGCAATGAAAACTATATGGTTCTAACATTGTCTAACTATAAGAGAACTCACGTGGCAGTGTTTAATTTGTACCATGTACACTGTGTTAGTGTTACAAAACAGAACCAGTGAGTGATGTGAGGGCTAACATAAAGATCTTGCAATTATTATGTTATGCCATCCATGTATGGTAACTATGTAAGAAGCACAGATAAATTTGTCATCAGAATGGCATTCTTCCTGAGATGTTTAGCTTTTAAATAATACCAAACATGATAGGATTCAAGTGTTGAAGAAAAGCTACTTTTGTGCCAGGTTTAAACAAAAACAAAGACCCCCACCCCCTTCAAATCACAGTTATTATGTTAAAATTGTACATTTTTACAATTTCAAATTTTACCAACTAATTATAAGTATAGTAAGCCCTAACTGAAAATCCAAGTTTTGAAGAATCTATATTTTTTGTCAAATTTTTATCATTTGTGACCTATGTTAAATACCTTGATGGCCTTTAATTTTTTGTGTGTCTCTTCAAAGACGGCCTCCATTTTCTTAAAATTGTCAATATATACCTGAATGGAGAGGAAAATATACAATAAATACAACTGCATTGTCTAAAATAAAAGCTCATCACTTTGAAATAGCCCAAAAATAGAACAATAAAACCATAAGTTTGAAAAAGTATCAAAACTATAATAATTAACCTTTACTGCACCTGCAATTTTAATTGGTCATGTTTTTTCTCACTTTCCAGTCGTAGCGCAAATTGAAATAGCATGTCAAAATGAACACTTTTATTATGTTCATGTTCTTTCAATTCTGCTGAAGGCCCCTGCAGAAAGTTAATAAAATCAAACTGTCCTTTACAAAATGTTATGGCACAATGGTATAAACTTTAAATGGTGGCCTTACATTACAGCGTCTTCCATATAGTAGGCCCCTATGCATGTATTGAAGGGGGTGGGTCGACAATTTTGTGTATGCTTGGGTATGGCCAGGTGGGGGTCTCAACAGAAACTCTGACTCCATACATTTATTTAAAAATTCTGCAATATTTTTCCTGACATTCTGACAGTTTAAATAGCCAATTTTATATCTCTAATTCTAATGCAGCAAATATATCATGCAACATGTGACAGGAATTATCATAATATTTCCTTATTATTTAAAAATTCTGCAATATTTTTCCTGACATTCTGACAGTTTAAATAGCCAATTTTATATCTCTAATTCTAATGCAGCAAATATATCATGCAACATGTGACAGGAATTATCATAATATTTCCTTGCATTTTCAAAAGTTAACTCCCTTCATATTGCTTTAGTATTATGCTGTGGCCATTTTTATATAATAAATTAGCTTACTTTGAATCTGCAGCCAAAATCTTTAAAGACGCACTCTTTAGGGTCTTTTACCTGTGTGAAGATTAGAACACAAATCAATAAAGTCATTGAGTAACATAGTCCTAAAATTTAAAAGCTATACCAAAAAAAAACAACAAATTTTTGGCTATTTTGAAAGTATCAGGTATATGGACTTTCAAGCAAAGCCCCAGGACAGACCTCTTGTCCATGTTTATAAAAATAATAAGCAGAAACATCAGTTTAAAATGAAGCCAATTTAATCAGTCTGAACATTATTATTAAAAAAATGATTCCATGGTGTGTCAAAAAATATGATCAGTAATGTGATAATATTAGATCCAATTCATATAAACCTTTTTTTTTTCATTGTTGAGGAATTTACCACACAGTGATCCTTGATGTATGATGCAGTGATATGCTATCAATTAACCAGAACAGTTATCCTGCATCTTTAAGAGCATGCTTCCAACAAGTCCACTTTTTTCGCCGCTGCTCCATCTGTCCAACAAGTTTGTCTTAAGGCATGTTTTAATGGTTAATCTTAAACATATATTGTCAAAAATATTTTTTCTTGTCACTGTGCCATGCATGGAATTTATATCCAATAATTCTCTAAAATATTCAAACTTGTGTCCACTCCACGGATGAAGATGGACAGCTCTGCAGTGTCAGTTGTATCCTTACTTTCATCGACAGCAAGTGAGAATGCAAAGAGTCTTTGCCTTTTTCAATCAGCTGTGTTTTAAAATCAGTGGCCATCTCCCAAACCCAATCAGCAACCAACAGCTCTGCAGTGTCAGTTGTATCCTTACTTTCATCGACAGCAAGTGAGAATGCAAAGAGTCTTTGCCTTTTTCAATCAGCTGTGTTTTAAAATCAGTGGCCATCTCCCAAACCCAATCAGCAACCATGTTTCTGCTAAAGCTTACATTTGAAAAAGCTGCGTTTTGTCTGAACACAATTAGTTTCACACTTTCATCATGCAGACATTCAGATATCCTCTACTGTAAATGGTCAGCCTGATTTTATGATCTCCTCCGCCACAACAAAACTTGCTTTCACAGCAGCTTCATTTGGTGATTTTGCTTTGGTTGAAAAATGTGTACAATAATGTTAGATTCTTCTTCAATTTTTCTACATTCTGTAGTTTCTGCTTGATTGATATCACATTAGGCAAGATGGGAAAAGTTAATGTAATAATATCAGGGTGCTACACTTCTTTTATTTCTTATGTCTTATGTGCTATTTCAAAAAGGTTACTTTAACGACGAGCATCCACTCACTACACAACTTTTAATTTCACTTATTCTGATTAAACCAAGAATACTCTCAGGTAGTCTATTATTCGGCAAGGCTGCTAATTAGGGAATTTTATTTGCAATTTTTATCGCAGGGCCATTAAAAACTAATTTTGCCTAAAATTCTCTACATGCCAGATATAATCGTATGCTGGTCAATAACTTTCAGACCTACTATAACTGTACACCATCCCTGTATAATGTATAGTATAGGCATGCGGATCTTAATTTGACACATGCTTTAGGACATTATTTACAAAAAAATACTGTAAAATTTCGAATGATCTCGTTAACAATTACTCAGTGCTGGTCAGATGAGGGGCAGACACCATGTGACCATGAGTTTACCATAATGATAATGGGTGACACAAATGCTAGTGACACCTCTAGGTTTACGGCATACTAGGTCAACTAAAATATAGGATAACCTTTTTTTTTATGTTACTCACAGTTAAAACAGGTGATTGACAGCGGCCAAATCCATTATCATTATCTCCAAACATTGAGTCCTCGCTGTCGATAACATCACAATCAAGTACAGATGACAACCCAGTGGCCTCCTCTTCAGACATATTGGTTATCTTTTTGGCCGTTTTAGTATTTTTCTTTTCTTGATATTCTCAAAGCAGAAGAAAAAACATATCAAAATCAGATATGGTATGCAGATATGGACAGATTCAGATATGGGCATGGGAATAGTCATTGGCGACTACATGCGACACTATAATTAGTAGTAGTAATAGTCATAGTACTAGGTACCCGGCTATAACAAATACATTTGTTTTAGGGTTGCCACAAGAATGTGCTCTACATATTAAACCCCTCTCTTCAAACTTCTTATGCTTTACTTTTAAGAAATATAAATTAAATGGGAAATGAATTACCTTACAGTGAATGCATACAATTGATTAGCTCCTTGATTTTTTTGTTGAATTAAGAGATGGCGGGAAAAAGGTCATTGGGGGAGATAACTGCATCAGGGCTGCCACTCACTTTTTTAAAATTTCCCAAGATTTGGTGAACAAATTTCCCAAGATATCCCAAGATCATTAAAAACATTATATAAGAGTTTGTTTTTTTTAAAGTGGGGTTTTCTATGTAATTAAAATTAATGTAATAATAGATTGAATCAATGCCCCTGAAAAACATGGTACATTAATTGACTGAAATTTTTTGAAAAAGACATTTAAAAAATGTTTATCACATAAAAGAACAAAACAATTTGTTTAAAAAAAAATTATAATCCAAAATATCAATACCCACTGGAGTTAGGCTACTAAATATTACCTCCAAATTCTCTAGTAAAAATATCATCTACAATACATGTGTAATAGAAGTCACTTGGAAACAAAGCTTACAAAGCTAATCAACACAGAAATTCCTTTTACAAGGGCAAAAGTTTCTTCATCAAAAAGTGATTTTTATTATTGTAAATCTGTTGATTAGAAGTGGTGTTTGCAACGCAATTAAGCAAAATTTATTAGTAATAATTGTAGCTAAAATGGATTGATATTAATGATGAAAACAATAAGTCTTTTTATTTTTTCTTGTAAATATACATTATAACGATTTTTTCAAACTAAAAAAAAATACTTTAAAGGAATTTTTCATTTATAATCCTACAACGTAGGCCCAGAGGCGTAGCGTGGTGGGGGCAGGGGGGACAGATGTCCCCGGGCGCCAGCTAGTTAGGGGCGCCAAAATGTGCTTTGATATTATTTTATTGATGTAAATAATGGGTTTGAGAGTTGAAAAAAAGAAAAAAGGGCGCTAAAAATGGATCTTGTCCCCGGGCGCGAATCTTGTCCCCGGGCGCCAAACACCCTCGCTACGCCAATGCGTAGGCCTATACTTTTGATATCTTAGTTACCTGTGTTTCAATCCACAAATATTTTTTTTCAAATTGATGAAAATTGGGCTGGATTTTTTACAGATGCATTATTTTTTGAACACATTGTAGAAGAAATGGAAATAATCAAATTTTACTATGGCATGGATTCTTGATTGAACACTATCGTTCACTCTTTGGCTTGCACTGTTTTTCGTATGGTTGCTAATGTCTAAGAGCATAATGATAAAGTTTCCGAGCCTAACCCCCACCCCCACCTCCCCTTAATTTAATAAACATTCAAAACCTGGATGTAATTTGTAAATCTTCAATTTTTTAAAAAAAAAGAGAAAATTGATTTTTTTTTTAAATATTAACTTTTTAATAATTCATAATATTAACTTTAATATCAGAAGAGTTTTTATTTATTTTATGAGTTGATTTAAAATTAAAACTAGAAAAGAAAATTAAAACAATTAATTGTTTGCCTTGTTACTTTAAAATTTATTTTGCTTTATTTTCACATTTTATTTTTTATCAGATATTATTGCGTTTTCTCGAAAAATATAATAAAATCCCCCCCCCCCCTTTCAGTTAAGATTTCCCAAGGTTTTGCCTGATTTTCAAAATTATTCCCCAGATCCCAAGGGGGATCGTGAATTCCCAAATCTTGGGAAATTTCCCAAGGTGTGGTAGCCCTGAACTGCATTAGTATGAAGCTATATTATAATATAAGAATGAGCTAGGGTCACATGACACCAAACAGGGAGATACTCTTCAAGTACATTCGGATTCTTAAAAATCAATCATAGTTATTTTCTATTATTTTACGGAGATCGAATCGATTTGAATGTGCAAAAAAATATTTTAAATCCGCTTTTATTTTAATAAATGCTTAAGTATTATTATCATAAATGACAAATACATATAAAGTATCAACTCAGGAAATATTTAAGCATTTTATATGTGTTTAAAAATTATGAAAAAATAAAAACAATTTAAAAAATCATGATCAAAGTATTACACCGTAATCATAGGCGTCCGCAGGGGGGGTGGAAGGGGGGCACTTGCAACCCCCCTATATTGATTGGATCAAAAAAAAAATTAAAAATAGACAAAAAATGTATTAAAGTAAAGAGAAAATAAAGAGAAAGTAACTAAGCTGATGTCCTGATCATTCGTTCACCATACAAATACCATACAGTAAATTGAAACTACATTAAAACATTACTAAAAAAATTTTGCCCCCCCCCCTAGAAAGGTAATCAATTTTTTTGGCCCCCACCCCCTAGAAAGTTTTCTGCGGGCGCCCATGACCGTTATCACATTTATCGGGAAAACCCAAACATCTGTCATCTTTTGTGCGTCTTATTTATAGTGTGTTGTTACATTGCGAAATAAAATTTTAAATTAATTTGTTCTAAATAATCAAGCAATTGACGTCATAATGCGAATAGCCTATTTCTCCAAAACTCTTAGGTTTCTTTAAATTTTATTACCATGCGTTACAAAACTGATAATGTATTTTCCCTTCTTAAAAGTAAAATTAATAAATACAATGGGAGTCACTTAGTCTATTTTGTCACGTGATGAGAGTAAAAACGAGTAAGATTTCCGGTTGGCTGTGCAACACACTAGTCCTTGACAACAGTAGTCAGTTATACACACTACAACTATCCAGAAGCAGTTGGCAATAATTTATACAAAGATGCCTAGGCAGTGTTCAGCTTATGGATGTTCCAACAGTAAAGAGAAAGACAGCGGCATAAGTCTGCACCAGTTTCCTCTGAAGGATAAAGACAATTTAAGAAAATGGCTAGACAAAGTGAAACGGGAAGACTAAGACTTTGTACTTTGTACCGACCGAAGCATCGTTCCTCTGTTCAGAGCACTTTACTGAGGATGATTTCCAATTTCACTGGTATGTACTATTCTTTAACTTTTGAAAATGAAAAATTAGTTAAATGTTTAGACTTAAAAGTAATAGGCTAAATAAAATTACCAAGGCAATTTAATAATTGTCTCATTATAGTCTCAACTCATTATTTTAACGTAATATTTTTCTGATGGTCTTTATTCATAGAAAGTCATACAGTGATAGTGATCGCTTCTAGTTAGGGCAGGGAGCTATTTGAAGTAAAATACCAATAGCTTCTAGAGAGCTATTGATAGACAATGAAATGAAACCAAAATCTTAGATTTAAAAATCTGCTTGCAATGAGTCAATGAGGATATGATATAAAATATAATATGATAGTGTGTAGTAGTGTGGTGGTTGGGGTTGACCCTGCGTGACAACGCCAAAAACTGTAGTAGTGTGGTGTGTGGTGATCCTACCGACAACGCCAAAAACTGTAGTAGTGTGGGTGTTATTGGGTGACCCTGGTGCCACAGACAGTTACTACTAAACAAATGAAGGAATGTAGGTCTCGAGGACTATAGCTTTATTAATGCTCTACTATGAAGAACAAAGTACACTATGAACTATGGAGAAGAAGTACACTACACTTGAAGAAAAAGAAAAAGGACAATATCTGAAAATAAACAAATAGTACAGGTCAACAATGTCCTGACTAACATAGCTAACAATAAACATATTACATAACCACGTAATTACACGTGGCGACAACATATACTTAACTAGAAAGCATGATAAATGATACGTACGTAGTATTGTTTCATACACATGGCAAAGATAATTATCTTGTACTACGAATGTTTTAACTATAAAAGAAACCACGTGCAGTGTTTAATTTGGAACACGTGCACAGTGTTAATGCTACACACAGAACCAGAGTGCGGTGTAAGGGCTAACATAAACTTTAAAGATCTTGAAGTTATAATAGTATGCCATCCAGGTATGGTGTCTATGTAAGAGGCACACATAGCGGGACAGTAAATACAACGGTATTAAGTATGACTACCGTTGGCTTGATACTTGTATCTGTCCATCGCTGTGTCTTGTTAAGACAACAGCAGATTGCAGAATGAATCATAGTTAAATTATATGGGATGTGATCCTCACATGCACTATTTCCTATGTGAGAATTTAGCACACGGCAGGAAAGTTAGCCTATTACACATATTTGACGGACACTCGCTGGTTGTATACTGTTGTATCAATAGCTTATTTTATAAGCGCATTGCAGTATGTGTACCCAGAACGATATGCAGTTGTTTGTTACGCACAAACCCTGGTCACTGGTATCTATTTATTAATCCTATTAAATAATTTATTTAACGGTTGTATGTTAACCTTTAAAATAGCATGAGCATAAGTCTACACGCTGTAGGTTATCCTACACTCTATCCTGGTTATAAGTCTGAACAGAAATCTTCCAATGCTAACACTCAACAAGTTCCTACTAACCACAAAGAAATAAAAATGGCGTAATTGCCTCTACTTACAGAGCGTTCCAATGGGCCGCACTGAACAAAGGCACACATTGCAGTATGTGTACCCAGAACGATATGCAGTTGTTTGTTACGCACAAACCCTGGTCACTGGTATCTATTTATTAATCCTATTAAATAATTTATTTAACGGTTGTATGTTAACCTTTAAAATAGCATGAGCATAAGTCTACACGCTGTAGGTTATCCTACACTCTATCCTGGTTATAAGTCTGAACAGAAATCTTCCAATGCTAACACTCAACAAGTTCCTACTAACCACAAAGAAATAAAAATGGCGTAATTGCCTCTACTTACAGAGCGTTCCAATGGGCCGCACTGAACAAAGGCACACTGCAGGTATGCTGACCAAAGCTCGAAATGACCCCTACCTCGTGTG